TCATTTTATCACATTATTCCACTATTTTCTCATCATATTTTCAATAATTTACATTTTGTTTCACTCTTCATAATCTCACGTAATTTTAAAGTGAGAAGATCTCTCTTATGGAGGGAGTACTTTGTAAAAATAAATTGGGCCCCTCTAATATTATTTATTTTAGTATGGCAGTGTAAAATACGATAGTATTACGGAGTACGTACTTTGATACCTTTAAAATTTTTCTATAGCTAATAAAAGTTTTCTCCATCGATCATTGGTGCTCCGTTATCTTGAAAGCTTAAATGTGAAATTATTCCATGAAATTATCATGAACATACTATAACATGTTCATGATGAGTATGTTTGAACCAATAAAGTGTATGTTTGTAACTAATAACAAATGGAGGTGTAGTCAAAACTAGGGCTCAACACGGGTCTTAGATTTTTCGTTTAAGTATTGAGAATCGTTCTTATCCGTACTGGAATCGAAAGAATCAGGATAATGTAGTAGTGTACAGTACCGAACCGATTATCTTATTTAAGATGGTATGGTATCGCTTCTCCATTAGAACCATCATAGAATCGTCAGATAATCGTAATTAACCGAGCTGTTATGAACGACCCCAAAGAATATGTTATTTTACATAATATATATTGTAACATATTACATCATGGAATATACAATATATAGCTAGACATTAATTACTAGAATACTGTTGGTTTTGCCCACATTCACGTAGTCCAACATAATTAATTACTCTATTGAATCTTATGTACTATTATTCAGTTAATTACGATGAATAGTCTTAGTTTAAATTTGTCCCATTCTCTTATTGGAATTTCGTCAACAACAAGTCGACAATTGAAGGGGATCGTCTTGTTTCAGCAAGGCAAGTCTCGGTACGGCAACAATCCCTTCAGCGTGAGAAAGGTGCGAAGATGATGAACTGACCCGCAAGACTTTGGCGAGAAGTAGGAAGCGACAAACGAATGACGTAAGGCCTAACGTCACATGAAGGCTTAATAAGGTTTTCCATGCAGATTAGGTGAGTATTCATTTATGAGTAACGGTGTTTCGAACAGAGACGATGGAAGGTTATTAAGTGCAGGGCGAGATCAAGAGACTGGCTAATGCTTGTGGAAGAATGGAAATTGACGAGGATGAATTCTTACAGTGGAGGCCACGGCTCCTGCTACTACAGATGTAGGTCTTTCTCTAGGAGGGACAATCATATATGAATATTCAATACGCTTTTCTATTTTCTGAGATACGATGGCCAATGTTTGGAAACATATACGAGATATCACTGTTACCGAACAAGGGGTCGGGTGATATATGTTTTGCTTCTATAATGAAAATGACATGCTCCGAGTATTGGAGCCCGAGGAAGGAACGTGGACATTTGATAAAAATATTGTATTGAGCAAACTAGGGAAGGGGATCTACCTATGGTGGTACCTTTAAATAGGGCTAGTTTCTGGTTACATGTTCATGATGTAACGTACCAGTAAGACATTTCTATCTAAAAAATGCAACTAGGATTGGCAATTTTGTGGGGAAGTTTATAAAATTGGATGAATATAACATTTCTGCTAAATGAAACCCGTTTATGAGAATCATAGTTAGTATAGATATGAGCAAGCCTCAGAAAAGGAAAATATTTTTGCAAACGGATGAAGGTACAAATTTTTGTGTCAAGTTTTGGAATGAAAAAATGCACACTTTTTATTTTGCGTGTGGGATTATTGAACATGTAGAAATGTATTGTCCTTGTAACCCTGAGGGTTGTAGGAAGAGTGAAGGACTCCCTTTCAGACCAGGACTTAGGGCCATAAAAGGAAGAGCACGGGTAGGAGAGAATCAATGGTTAGTTGCAAATGGCAAAGGAAGAGGCAAGGATGAAGCGAGTAGAGCGGATACGTCAGAGTTGGAGGATCACAACGGTCTGATGCAGGGTCAAGATCAAACACTGCAGGAGAAATGGGAAGAAGTTGTGGGTGCCATTTGCAACTTCATCCTTGCTGGTACAAGGACAATACCTTTCTACAACCCTCAGGGTTACAAGGACGATACCTTTCTACATGTTCTATCCGCTCTACTCGCTTCATCCTTGCCTCTTCCTTTTCCATTTGCAACTAACCATTGATTCTCTCCTACCTGTGCTCTTCCTTTTATGGCCCTAAGTTCTGGTCCGAAAGGGAGTCCTTCACTCTTCCTACAACCCTCAGGATTACAAGGACAATACCTTTCTACATGTTCAACAATATGGCGGTGAAGTTGAGAGTGCAAAAAATTGGGAAGAAGGTGAGTTGCACAGTTGCAACTCGCCTATCACACAGTTGAAGATTGCGCAAGATGACTAGGAGAGGATAGAAGCGAGCTCCATCAAATGAACTTTGTCTATTTTTTCTATTTTCAGTTAAGACCGTTTACTAGCTAGTTTCTGTTTTGTTTTTATGATTAACAATATGGGAGGTAGGATTGTGGTTTGATTTATTTTAGTTGATAGACTTTTGTCAGATTTCAATCAGGCTGACTCAGCCAATAATAGCCGCGAAACTCTCACACATTCAGCGATTAGTCTCGCTCTTTCTAGGTTGTGAGTTGTGAATTAGAGGGAGATTATGGTTTATAGTTATTGTCCTAAATAGGACATGGGTCCCTATAAAGCACAAATAAGACTACTACTTTTTTATTTCCCAAATAGGACTAAACATTAATTTTCTACCCTAAATACCCCTAAGGGTATTAATTCATAATGAAATGTTTTAATTCATAATAAAACCATAAAAATAATAAAAAATCTTAAAAACATAAAAATTAATATTTATAAAATAATTTTTTTAATCATAAAAAATAATAAAAACCCATAAAACTATGGATACCTTTTCTGCCGCTTCCTAACACCACCGCCTTCTGAAAATTTTGCCACTTTTTGTAAAAAAAACTAAGAAAATGACATTATGACTCTTCATTATGCCAAAATTTTCATTGAATCTGTCATCATTATGACATTACTAAAAATGTTGACATATTTCGTCCGGTGATGGGAGCTAGCGGAGCTGGGGGTAGCAGAGGTGACAATTTTTTTGTTTTTAATTTGTATTTTATTTTTTAATTTTTTATAAATATTTTTAAATTTTTTTTAATAGTTTCTTACAATTTCTATTATTTTCTTATGATTTTTATAATTTTTGTGGCTAAAACATTTCACAAGTTACAAGGGTATATTTGTTCAAATAAACATAAATAATTCAATTAGGAGAATTTAAAAAATGTTGTCCTAGTTGTGCAATTTTCCCACTTTTAGTTTTATATAGGTAGTTGACTCTAAGGTTTATGGATATTGGTGATTGTTGGGAGTATTTCATATTAATATAAGCCTTTTTCTTTAAAAAAAATTAGTGATATTTAATAAAATAAGTGCTTGTCATAACAAAATGAAAAAACAGTTTCAAACGTCCAATCTACTACTCTCTCTGTTCCCCTATAATTGTCTCATTTTTCAATTTTTGGATGTTTCCCTATTATTGTCTCATATCATATTTGTTAATATTTGTGTGACTCTAATTCATTTTTACTTTATTCTCACTTTATCAACTCATTATCAATCACATAATTCTATTTTTTTTTTAAACTACACCCCTCCTTCTGTCCCAAGATTAGGGGGACGGAGAAATTATAAACAAAAAATAGAAAAACACTCCTTTGTACTCCCTCCGTCCCTTAAAACTTTGTCAATTCTCTTTTTTTGGATGTCCAACTAACTTTGTCACTTTTCATTATAAGTAAAGAATTTGTGGCTATAATCAATTCTTTCTCTTTAGCACAAACTTCTATCATACAATTTTTACTTTATTAATCCCCGTACCGGTTAAACTTGGCAAAGTTTTAAGGGACACACACTTAGAGTAATCTTTTCAAACACAGTCTTGGCAAACTTGACAATTTTTTTTGTTTTTAATTTTTACTTTTTTTTATTTTTTTATAAATATTTTTATAAATTTTTTAATAGTTTCATACAATTTCTATTATTTTCTTACAATTTTTATAATTTTCGTGACTAAAACATTTCAAAAGGTACAAGGGTATATTTGTTCAAACAAACATAAATAGTTCAATTAGGAGAATTTAAAAAATGTTGTCCTAGTTGTGCAATTTTTCCACTTTTAGTCCTATTTAGGTAGTTGACTCTAAGGTTTATGGATATTGGTGATTGTTGGGAGTATTTCATATTAATATAAGCCTTTTTTTGTAAAAAAAAAGTAAAAATTAGTGATATTTAATAAAATAAGTGCTTTTATGTAATAACAAAATGAAAAAGGAGTTTCAAACACTCAATCTACTACTCTCTCTGTTCCCCTATAATTGTATCATTTTTCAATTTTTCGGATGTCTCCATATTATTGTCTCATATCATATTTGTTAATATTTATGTGACTCTAGCTAATTCATTTTTACTTTATTCTCACTTTATCAACTCATTATCAATCACATAATTCTACTTTTTTAAAACACCACACCCTCCTTCTGTCCCAAGATTAGGAGGACGGAGAGAGTATAAGCAAAAAATAGAAAAACACTCCTCTTTACTTCCTCCGTCCCTTAAATCTTTGTCAACTTTCATTTTTTGGATGTCCAACTAACTTTGTCACTTTTTATTTTAAGTAAAGAGTTTGTGGCTACAATCAATTCTTTCTCTATAGCACAAACTTCTATCATACAGTTTTTACTTTTTTAATATTTGTGTCGGTCAAACTTGATAAAGTTTTAAGGGATAGAGGGAGAGAGTAATTATTACAAACATTTGGGTTCGGGCAATTATGGATTTATGGGGATCCTGCATTTTTTCCTTGGATCTTTTTTACCATTTACGGAGGTACCCAATTGTTTAGAGGACTATTCCTCAGTGTTTAGACTATATCGGTAACAAAAAAAAAAACAAATAGGGACATGAGTATCTTAGCATTAAAGTAGTAGTCGGTAAATTGAGTGGGCACATCCATCGATCAGCTGATGGTTTTCTACCTCCAATCACTTCACATTAATGTCCATTACCACTCCCCTCTCTTTCCACTTTGTCTTTCTTGCCCAGCCAAGACCTTCTCCCCCTCTCTCTCCACAAAACCTCCCTCTTCATTTCTGTAATTAACACCGAGAAACCTAAGTCATAGTTTTTTTCATTTTATGTGTTACTCAGCTCATCTCCGATAGGATCATCACCCCAAGTTCACTAAGCTTTTTGGGCTGTTCCATCTCCAGATCCTGGAGATATCAGATTATCACACAGGTACTGCAGATACTCAGTCAGTCACCTGTGTTTTCAAGATTTTCAGTTTTTTTTGGAGTTTTCTTGAAATGAAAAGTCTTCAGATGATTTGCAGTGAAAAAGATCTGCTCCACACATAGATAGCTATCTAGCTACCTGATACATATTTACCCCTACCCAACCCAACTATCTTGTTCCTCTAACCAGATCAGAGATTCCTAGCTCCTGAAAAGTTAATTCACCTTAGATTATCCAAATTTATATATAAACACCTACTGTATATTCCATATCACTTGACAAAAAAGGCCAAACAAGAAACAAGAAAAGAACTCCCACCTACATAGCTAGCTGCTGTCTGTTGAACATTGATTTTTCTTTTTTTAGTTACCTACTAAAATACCCACCCACCCACCCATGGATTTCATTGCTCCACTTCACCATAATCTTGATTCCGGGATCATCAACCAGACCGGGCCGGCCGGTTCCCTGACGACCTCATCCTCCTCCTCCGCCGTCCTCGACCCCTCTCAGCCAGCACCGCCTCAGCTCAGCCGGTACGAGAACCAGAAGCGCCGCGACTGGAACACCTTCTGCCAGTACCTCCGCAACCACCGACCACCGCTAGCCCTCCCTCTCTGCAGCGGGGCCCACGTCCTCGAGTTCCTCCGCTACCTCGACCAGTTCGGGAAGACTAAGGTTCACAACCACAACTGCCCCTTCTTCGGGATGCCCAACCCGCCCGCGCCTTGCCCCTGCCCGCTCCGGCAAGCTTGGGGAAGCCTCGACGCGCTCATCGGCCGCCTCCGCGCCGCCTACGAGGAGCACGGCGGAAAGCCAGAGTCGAACCCGTTTGGCGCCAGGGCTGTGCGGCTCTTCCTCCGGGACGTCCGGGATTTTCAGTCAAAGTCTAGAGGGGTCAGCTACGAGAAAAAGCGGAAGCGACCGGCGGCGGCAGCATCGGGTAAGCGTAGTTCAGCGGCGGATCATCCTCAGCCGCCGAGTAATCCCGCCGTCGGACCTTTTTGCGGACACCCATCGAACAATTTTCTGCAGTAGAGTAAACTTTGAATAGTAGCTTTCTGCAAAATATTAATATTGAAACCCCGCCTTTTTGGTCTCTGATGCTATTATAAATCATCACTATAATACTATATATATATCCTCTTAACTGTTTCTTAAATTTGTATTCTCCTTCTGTTTTTTTTTTTAATTTACTCAACGAAAATGGATATTAGGGCTTTGATTTTTTTCTTGCAAATTTGCATGGTTTCTATCAAACCTGATACCACTCATTTGTAATTAAATGTAGAGTGGTATAATAGTTACTCCATATTATACTCCCCCTGCATTATTTACATGTTTAATTATAATTTACTTGATCATTTATTAAGATTAGTTTATAAAACATCGTTATTGGTTTTGCCATTATTCTCAACTGCTTACACATTGATGGATGAGCTAAATAACATATGGAATATAGGGGAAATCACAATTTGTTGTGCAAATTATGAGAATATGTAATGTATGTGTCTTGCAGTTACTAATTTCGCAGGTGCTGCAATTTGTATAGTTTCAATAAGTTGTTGGGGAAAAGTGTCAAATAGGTTTTCTAAGTACAAGTGCAAATCATCTCTTATATAGAAGGTTCTTTCCGACCGCCGCAGTTCTCGGTGGAATTTTTTGATGAATTTTTTTGAGCATTTTTTTCTAAGATGAAATCGATTGAGATTGATAACCTCAACACAAACGGTTTATTGATTTAATTAATATAATTAATTTCCCTTAGATTATTAACCATGAGACGCATGCATTAATAATCCTAGTTTACTATCTGTTTCCTAGAAATGTTCTATTGCGAATCAAAACTATAGCGGACCATAAACACCGGACACCTTACTTTTGCTAATTAAGAGGAAAAACAATCAAATGATTTTCTGAAATTCAGTTGACTGCCTTCCTGAGTTGAATTCATATAGAAGATGCTCAAAAAAATTTATCAAAAAATTCACGGGAAATCAATCAAATGGTTCCCTTTTCTCTAAGTTGTTGTGTACGTAGTATTACTGTTTGCTCATCAAGAATGATGTGTGTACATTTCATTAAAATGGATTAGAGGGACTTGCTTTTTATGAATAGTCAGCTCCTTTTTTCTTCCAACTCCACCTTGGTTTTACTAGGGCCCTTTGTTGTTTAATTCCTGGACTGGAAAAACACTTTTAATGAGATTACTTGAGGGTTTCCTAATACGGAGTATTATTTAGGGAACATGAGTGGTGTGTTGATGCGAATTTAGTACTCTCTCCGATTCTTAACGAAGTTTACACTTTGACTTCACACATATTAAAAAAATAAATTTGAATGTACGCTAGACTACACTGTTTGACATTGTTTAACACTGTTTAACACTGTTTGGTGTAGATTTGTTTGCCAAATAAGGCAAATAAGAAAGTGTAAAGTTTAATATGGAACGGTCTAAAAAGGAAGGTGTAAAGTTAATTAAGGACCGGAGGGAGTATTGGTTTGGATGTGTTTATTGAGATAGAAAAAATTGAATATTATAATATATTTATACTCCGTAGTAATCATCTCATTTTATCTAAGAAATCCAAGGTAGGGATGGACTAAACCGGCCCGGCCCGGCCCGACCCGGAACCGGTCCGACCCGGAACCGGCCTGGCCCGTTACTGTTTGGGCCCGGACCGAACCGGGACCGGTTGGCCGGTTCCGGGTTTTTAGCCCGTTTGGGTGGGTCGGGCGGGCCGGGGTCGGGCGGGCCGGGCTCGGGCCCAACTTTTGGTGAACCAACCCAGGCGGTTCGTGTCGGGCCCGGTTCAATTTTTTTTCATTTTTTTTGCTCTTCTAGGTTACGGTTGGGTGTTTTGGAAGGGTTTGGGGGTGGGGGTGAAGGGGGGGGGGGGGGTCAGGTGTTAATTAGAAACCAAAAAAAAATTGAACTTGACCCGGGCCCGGTGTGTGTAGCGATAATGACACAGAATTTACTTGCATGATTGATTTTTTTAATACTCACGACATTTTATTTCAAACCTCTTGTGTTGGGACGCCACAACAAAATGGAAGGGTGGAAAGGAAACATCAACATATTCTTAATGTTGCTCGGGTCCTTATGTTCCAAGCTAGTCTCCCCATACGTTTTTGGGGTGAATGTATCTTGGGGGGGGGGGGGGGGGTGTTTTTTATTAACCGCACGCCTTCGGGCTTGCTTGGAAATAAAACGCCATATGAGGTAGTGTGTCAGAAAGCTCCTAATTATGATGAGTTGCGGGTTTTTGGATGTTTATGTTTTGCTCACAATCAGCGGGCTAAAGGAAATAAGTTTGCACCCCGGGGGCGCAAATGCATCTTTATGGGCTATCTAAATGGGAAAAGGGGATGGAAGGTGTTTGATCTAGATATCGAAGAATTTTTTGTGTCATGTGACGTGATTTTTCATGAGCATGAGTTTCCATTTGTGGCACCTCCCACTGCCTCGGCTGCCCCTCCCGTGCCTATGTCCATAGATTTTGATGAAGATTTTTAACATGCCCCAAAAACTGATCCTGGTCCTACCCCACCTGAAGTGCTGGCAGATTCGGTTGAGCCCTCTGGGAACATGGAAGGCTCGTTTGGAAGGTGTTTGATCTAGATATCGAAGAATTTTTTGTGTCACGTGACGTGATTTTTCATGAGCATGAGTTTCCATTGGCATACTTTTAGATATACACCGAGTGAAAGCAACTCCATTGGCATCCAAGCCCCTGCCTGCCTTTGTAGTACGAAGTAGATGTTTGATGATAAAAACGAAAGCGCCAATATCGAATGGAAAGGCATTCTAGGCCACAAGAAACATTCCAAGAAATAAATAAGTTGACAACCATCACTTTGTCGTCACATTATTACCTCCCCCAATCTGACTAAGAATTGTTTTCTGATTTGAATTTTTTAAGATCTGATCTGAATTTTTCTGATCTGATCTGATCTGAATCTTTCTGATCTACTCCGATCCGGTCCGATTTGAATCTTTCTGATCCGATCCGATCCGATCTGAATCTTTCTGATCTGATCTTATCTGATCCGAATCCTTCTGATTTGATCTTAACTTTCTAAACCGGTATATGACAGATAGTATATTCGGGGGATACCGCTAGGGGTATCTAGAGAGATGTCGGAACAAGTAAGAGAGAGGGGGTATTTATTCAATAAAGTTGTTATTCGGATCCGTTACAATGGGAAAGTGCCTGCTATTTATAGCAGTCATAAATGCGAGATGCAATAAATGAGGGTACACGTGCCAAGTAACCAGCGATGAAGGGTCAACTAAGTTAGGGTGTCGCCGACATAGCATGTAGCCGCATTCAATGCGGTGGTTGAAAGTGATACCGCATTTAATTTGGCGATCTAGAGCGTGCAGGGAGGAGATCTTGTCGGGGTAGTGTCGAAAGGTCGTGCGTACCCCGGAGGACTTCATGTGCCGAAGGCCGTGCGTAGCTGGAGACCCTCATGTGCTGAAGGCCGTACGTACCACGGAGGACTTCATGTGTCGAAGACCGTAAGTAGCTGGATACCTCCATGTGCTAAAGGCCATACGTAGCTAGATACCGCCATGTGTTAAAGGCCGTACGTAGCTGGATACCGCCATGTGCTAAAGGCCGTACGTAGCCTTGGGGCCTTCATGTGCCGAAGGACGTACGTCCCCTGCGGGGCTCATGTACCGAAGAACATACGTCCCCTGGGGCCTTCATGTACCGAAGGACGTACGTCCCCTGGGGCCTTTTTGCGCCGAAGGACGTACGTCCCCTGGGCCTCCAGGGCTGTTCTTTGTTCATGTCATGGAGGTCCCGAGATTGGACTTCCTAGGAGGCCGTATCTTGGGCCACGACCCCCTCGACGTTCCCAATTCGGAGGACAGGGTTCCCGAGGGGGTGTGGATGAGGGGGAGGCATGATATTCTCCCCGACCTGAGGTTGGAGGGGAACCAAAGTGCTGAAGGTGCCCGGATTCTGGGTGAGCGTCTGGATGAAGGCGGAAAACGCCGACTGTACGTCGATAGTGATGACCGGAGGGCTAACTTGGTTCTCGCTCCGGTCCTTCTTCTTGGCCTCGATGTCGAGGCAGGCATCAGGGGCATTCTGTTGAATCTGATGGCGTAGGTCGACAGCGGTCTGGTCCAAACCGGCGATGACGCCGCCCCCGGGAGCCCTCTTAGAGGCTTCGGGGACGTCGACTTCGCCGAGGGCTAGGTTCCTGTCCTCAACGTTCTTGGAGTTGGCACGAGTTGTTCTCACCATTTTCGCTAAGTGTTTTGTGTTTAGCGAGGGGGAGGGTTTCTTACTCGATTATTCGACCTCTCAAAGAGAGCACCAAAGGATGGATAGTCTACCCGGGGGTATGTATCCGAAGGGTTATTGCGGGGAATAACTAGAGAGAAGTCAGAGCATAAGTAAGAGAGAGAGAGAGAGAGTATATTGCTGAGAAAGTAGTGAGCGTATTTTTTGCTTGGTCTACAAATGGGGAAAAGGGGCGCTATTTATAGTAGTAATAAATGCCAGATAGGGACACATGTCATCATTCTGGTGGTCGAGGGGTCACCTCAACGGGGTGGCGCTGGCATTCGCATGTGGCCGCATTAAATGCGGCTGTTGGATGTGACGTCGTACTTGGTACGATGATTCAGGTGCATGTGGAGAGGATATTATGTCGAGAAAGGTGCCCTGGCCTCGGCTGCAGATGATTAGCCGAGGGCTCTGAGTACCGGGGACCTCCTTAGTGCCGAGGGCTCTAGGTGCCGAGGGCTACTGATTTTCGCCGTTTTCTCCCATTAACTTTGTTTGCTTGAGTTGGCTATCCTGTCAGAATTTGGAGCCTTCGGCCAGGGGGCCGAAGGCACCCCCAGTGTGCCATGTGGGTTGCTTAGTACTTGGGTTGCTGTGATTTGGGCCTGCTGTGCTTCCTGGGCCTATTGGGCCTCCCTTAGAATAGTAGGAGTCTATGGACTGGGGGTTCCTGGGCCATATACTCCATCAAATAATAATAATAATAATAATAATAATAATAATAATGATAATTATTATTATTATTATTATTATTATTATCTATAATAATAGAATGTTTCCAATTTGCTATGAATGTTTCTGATCTGAATGTGTGTGATCTGAATCTTTCTGATGTGATCTGAATGTTTCTGATCTGATCTGATATGATCTGAATGTTTCTGATCTGATCTGAATAAAATAAGAATAAGCAATAAGCAATAAGAATAAGACGAACAGAATAGCTTCTAAATCGGTTCATTTTCATCAATTCCTCAAAATAGGAGTAAATAATGTTTGAAATTCTAAAATAGAACTCTTATGTTTTTCTTCCCAAAATAGGCCGGATCAACATAACAATATTTATTGTCATTTGTTAAGCATGACCGCATGACTAA